CATATCATTCACTAGCTGTGTGACTCTGGGCAAGTCACTTAATCCCAATTGCCTTGCCAAAAAAAAAAAGTAGTATCCTAATCAAAACTATTAATAGTCATATGAAAAAGGCTCTTAAATCACTTGATAATTAAAAATGCAAATTAAAACAATTTTTGAGGTACCATCTCACCTATCAGATTGGCTGACATGAAAGAAAAGGAGAATGAAAAACCGTTCGAGGGGATATGGAAAAATACAGGCACTAATGCACTTTTGGTAGAGTTATGAACTGGTCCAACCATTTTGTAACCATTTTATAGCCCAAAGGGCTATAAAACTCTGCATACCTTTTGAACCAGCAATACCACTACTAGGTTTGTATCCCAAATACATACAAAAATATTGAAGCTTTTTTTGTGATGGCAAAGAATTGGAAATTGAGGGGATGTCCTTCAATTGGGGAATGACTGAACAAATTATGGTGTATAATTGTGATGAAATACTATTGTGGTGAAATAAATGGCATAGGGGATGGTTTCAGAAAAACCTGGGAAGGCTTATATGAGCTAATGCAAAGTGAAGTGAGTTGCAATATTATAACAATGATCAATTGTTAAAGACTTAGTTACTCTGATCAATACAGTGATCCAAAACAATTCCAAGAGACTCATGATGAAAAATGCTGGCCACTTCTAAAGAGAAAACTGATGAAGTCTGAATGCAGATTGAAGCATATTGTTTTTACTCTTTATTTTTCCTGCCTTTTTATTTATTCATTTTTTGCATCTTATTCATTCATGGCTAAAATGGAAATTTGTTTTGTCTGACTTCACAAGTGTAATGAGTGTTGTATTTCTTGCCTTCTCAAGGGGTTGCAGAGGGGCTGGAGGGAGAGAAATTGAACTTGAAAATAAAAATAATTTAAAAAATTTTAAAGAAATAGTTTCCTTCTAATTTTCTGTTTCCAGCTGTTTGAATTTCTTGCCCATTAACAGCAGCTGGCTCACTCTAAATATGGTTGAGGCATAGACTAGAGAATAGTGATTAGATTTATTGTTTCATGATTTGAGGGAACTCGCTCTACCTAAGCAGGCAGGAACAACTTTCTGTGCAAGTTAGTCTTAGTTGCCTGGAAACCTGAGAGGTTACTGACTGAGTCAGTGTCACTGGCCAGTGTGAGTCAAAGGTGAGATATGAACTCATCTCTTAATGGCCCTAAGGTCAATTCTGTTCAGTATGCCATTCTGTGTAACTAATTAAAACTTGTTTATAAAAGTGGTAGGAGCATTTAAAAATTTGGTATTTATACTGCTGAAGTCAGTTGTTTTATTTAAATGGTTCATTTCCAGGAACATTTGTAACTGAAGTTAAATTGAATGTGTGGTGAAAGAGAGTTCCTAAGAAATATTTTTCATTGTTTAATTATGTGTTTTTAGGACAGACAGTGTCTTCCAATATACTGTATAGTCAAATTTCAGAAATTTATTTAGTGTGTATTTTTTTAAATCTGTACTCATAGTGTATGTACAACATTATGCTCTATGCCATTTTAAAAAAATCTTCATCCTGTGAATTCTCTTAGTGAAGAAAATATATATTATTCTGATTTCTCATATTTTCATCAGGTTCCAAGACCAAGGACTAAATTAATGAAAGGAGAAAATGCTGGACAAAATTTGTTGGAAATGATGGCTTATGATCGTCTGAGCCAGACTGGTAATAGCACAGTTTTGTTGAGCCTCCATTTTACCAGTGTGATAGGATATGTATACAGCGATTCTGCAAGATAGTTGCCAGGGAAAAGTATGTGTAAAGTGCTGTGAGATTCATAGATCAATTCTTTCATTCAGCAAATATTTGAAAACCTTTTGCATACAAGGGCCACAGTTGTGTGTCAGATGCTGGTATGTATTAGGACTTTACCTCAAGGAGCTTACAGTCTGTTAGGAAAGAGAAGACTATACGCAAATAGTAATGAAAGGCCACAGTTGCCATATGAATGGTAAACTTCATGCCCAAAAGAATAGCGGGAGGATTCCCTGCCATTAGACTAGTTAAGTAAGGTCTTCTTTAGCTACTTGGCTTTTTCCTGTGACTGTTTAAGCTCTATACTTGAAACTTCCTTTTAGTCGTGAAAATAAAATGGTATTTTTCAATGATTTTCAAATATTTTCTTACTCTCTGCTGTTGATATAATGGCATACGTCTTCAAATGCTATCAAACATTTTAAAATTCATGATATATAACATTGTTTTAAGTTTGGAACATAGGTCAGAATAAAAAAATAAGATTTGAATATTAATCACCTTATTTGAAGGCAAATAATATGGGAAAATTTAAGGAAATCTAATACTTCTAAACTCTTGATATTTGTGATTAATTGTTTAACATGTGTGTATTACAGGACATATGCTGCTAAATTTGAGTCATGGCAAGCAGGACTTCTTAAAAGAGGTTGTGGAATCATTTGCCAATAAGAGTGGACAGTCTGCTTTATATGATGCCTTGTTCGATAGTCAGTCACCAAAAGATAAATCATTCTTGGGTAGTGATGATATCAGAAATGTTAACATACAAACCCCAGAACCTGAAGAACTGGCTAGATATGATATTGGTAAGGTATAGTAAAAAAAAAACAACAAAAAAAACCAACCAAAAACACCTAACTAATGTTTGCATGTTAAAGAGCATTATGATATAGTACAAAGGTTCTTGGAATTTGTAAACTTTTTTTTTTAATGTTTTGATAGCTTTCAATACATTTGGTTTCCTGTGTAATCCTGTGTATTTTGTTTTATACATTAAAAAGCATTGTTTTGAGAAGGCTTGCATGGTCTTTACCAGACTGGCAAATAGGCATCTATGATGCAAAAAAGTTTAAGAACCTTGATGTAGTGGAAAGATGTTTTTGGAGTCAGTACCCTGGTTCTGTACAAGATCACACACTATGTGGTCTTGGCTAAGGCATTTAAACTCTTCTTAGTTTCCTTATCTACCATATGTGTATGATACTGTCACTATTCACCTTACCTGTTTGTTGTTTTGGGAAAAAAAAGCCTCTGTGTGAAATAAAGCCTAAATATAAAAATTGTTATTTTAGTGTTATCTCCTTCATCCTGTACTGTGTTTTTAGAAAATGTACATTTACTACCTTTTATCTACCTTTCCCACTTAACTTCATCTTGTTAGGATTTTGATCGTTGTTTTAATCTTTCAGTATCATTTTTGTATCAAGTCATTTGGCTTTTACTAGTAGTCTTTTGGGGTTTCCATTGGTTTAAAGGATTAAACTTCCTGATTATTCAGTATATCTTTTTGTTTGGGGTATTGATGGAATGGTGATATGATCAAACAATTTTTAAAGCTTTAATGAGATGGAAAATCTGTCTTCATAGGGAATATAGGCATTTATTTGAAGTAAATACTTTTCTGAAATATCTTGAAGGAAAAATCTTTGGAGATTAAAATCAATGGACTGTGCAAGTAAAACTGATCCAAATTCTTAAGGTTGGATTTTTTTTTCACTAAAGATTATCATTTTACCTTCATAGGGGCTGTTCGAGCACACAGTGGTAGCCTTCAGCACCTCACTTGGCTTGGGTTACAGTGGAGTTCATTGTCTACCTTACCTGCAATCCAAAAATGGCTAAAACAGCTTTTTCATCATTTGCCACAAGAAACCTCAAGACTTGAAACTAATGCTCCTGAGTCTATTTGTTTATTAGATCTTGAAGTAAGTAAGATTTTAAAGAATCTAATTAGAGTTGGAAAGATTCTCTTTAACTTCAAAATAATCATTCTTTTTAAAAATGAAAACAGGTATTTCTACTTGGAGTAATATTTACCAGCCACTTACAATTACAAGAGAATCCAATTTCACTATGATTCACATCAACCTCCATGCTTGCCGCTACCTGTGTGCAAACAGCTTTGTACAGACCGACAAAAATCCTGGTGGGATGCAGCTTATAATCTTATTCACAGAAAAGCCAAGTAAGTACTAATCCCCAAATACTTCTTTATTAGAAATAAGTACGTATAACTTTTGACCTACATTATTCAGCTCTTGTGCAGGTTGTTAATTCTGAAAATTATGTGCTTCAAATTCACATAATACTCATGTTTATGTATAATCTTTTTATTTAATAATTTTGTTTTTTAAGAGCTGGAACCTCTGCAAAGTTGCGCCTTCTAGTTCAGCATGAAATAAACACACTAAGGGGTCAAGGCAAACATGGTCTTCAGCCTGCTATGCTTGTACATTGGGCAAAAAGTCTTCAGAAAACAGTAAGTTCTTAAATTGCTTAAATATTTTCTTTGTGGAGACTTTGTCTCTTAATTTAAATCTTAAAAAACAATCCATAGATATCTAGTTGATATTTTGAAAACTCTGAATATAGTGGTATCTTGATTAGGTCATGTTGCTTGAAGTTGTTTTCCTCTCTCCCTTTTTTATAAAGTTAGTATTATATAAAAAAGTGCTTAGATTCTTTAGGCGTATAGTCTGAAAAATAGAATGTTGGTGGGTTGAATGAGGAGGGAATAATTTTTATTAGAAAAGCTATAAACTACAAGATTTACTCTTTTTTTGGGCAATTTGGACTGGTAAGTAGAAGTTATAGGGAAATAAATTTTGATTTAATATAAAGAATTTATTCAGAACTAATTAAATTCAGAGATAATTAAAACAAGAGTGAGGTAGTGAGTTTATTGTTACTAGAACTGGTTCAACGGACTGACTGACCATCAGTGAGAGAAATTATACAGGGAATTCCTTCATTGGATGGGAGATAGTAGTGGATGATCTCTGAGATTTCAGCTGGCTTTGTTAAACTAAGATTCGGTGACAGTTATTTTGAGACATGTTTGAACTAGATTTTAATATTGGATAGTAATGTCTGCTGTAAAAATTATCATTTTAATATAATGTCATTCATTCTAGGGCAGTGGACTTAAATCTTTTTATGATCAGCGGGAATACATAGGAAGAAGTGTTCATTACTGGAAGAAGGTTTTGCCATTATTGAAGACAATTAAAAAAAGAGCAATATTCCTGAACCCATCGATCCTCTCTTTAAACATTTTCATAGTGCAGATATTCAGGTACTGCAGCATAAACTTGAGAACTTAATGAGAAATGTGTATTCCATTTTACAGCTGAGGAAAATGCCTGAGTACAGAGAAGTTATAATCTGTTCAATTATTGTGATAGAACTATTTTCTTGATTCTTTCCACTAAACTACAGTGGTGATATTTTGCATAAAGATAAAGCCGATGTCTAGTCTGCTTATATTTTCTGAAAAGTAACATAATAGTAATATACTGAGAAGCTAGTTAGACTTACATTAATTTCTTGTGTTAAACAGTTAATTTTCAGATTTATAGTAAAAATGTAAGTAAACTTAGTCTTAAATTCTTAAATTCCATTTCTTTAGGCATCTGAAGTTGGGGAATATGAGGAAGAAGCACACATAACATTTGCTATGTTGGATGCAGTTGATGGGAAAACTGAAGATGCCATGTCAGCATTTGAAGCAATAAAAAATGTTGTTTCCTATTGGAATCTTGCCCTGGTAAGTATTAAACTATGTGTAATACTTCAGTTTAACTTTAAAAAAAATACTGCTTCATAAAATCACAACTTTTTATTATAGATTTTTCATAGGAAAGCAGAAGACATTGAGAATGATGCCCTTTCCCCAGAAGAACGAGAAGAATGCAAAAACTACTTGAGGAAAACTAGAGACTACTTAATAAAAATTTCAGATGAAAGTTGCACAGATCCTGCTGTAGCTAAAAAGGTGAGGCAGTAATTTCTTTTTGTATAGAGTGTGTGTGTATGTGTATAGTATATATATGTATTTTGTATAGCTTCTTGTTTCTTCTAAAGTATTTAATAGTTTGGCATGTTGCTGGCCTTGAGGTAATGCTCAGCAATTGTAATTATTAAAAGAACTAACTACTCATTTAATTTTTATCTTTAGCAAGACTCAAAAATGTATTAATCATCTCTTGTGTGGAAAGCACTATACCAGGCACTTGGGGACGATGCAAAGTTTATGACAGACATCCTGCCCTCATAGAGCTAACAGCTCAGTATGAGTATGACAGCACAAATAACTACCATATAAAATAGTTACACCATAGATTGAATAGCCTCCATTCAAATCTTCACTATTGCAGTTCCTTTTTTTTTTTTCTAAACAGTTGTCATTCCCACCACCCCTTGAAACATAATTAAAATGAGTTACCAAATAATAAGCCATCTTTTTAATGACCAGGCATTTCACTTACTCTTACTTAGTTCTCTACAGAGGATTACTCAACCCCAGTCAACATACAGGAAGCCTCTTCAGAAAGATAATATTTTGAAACAGGGCAATCCCTGAAAGTGATGAATTAATTCGCTACTGATTTGCTAAAAGCCTGTATGTTAGTGTTAGCTATCCCTAACCTTAATATTCTGTTGATTTTTAACAATAGTACTAACAACCAAGGCCTCCCAGAACGCTCTAGTTGAGCTTTCTAAATAAAAGATTTTGAACTAAGATTCAATAAGCTAGCACGCTTGGCCAAATCTTTCAAACATTAACTTCCTACATGGATAAAGTTTTTTTAGGGGGTAGGGGGGTGGGCAGTGGGAGTTAAGTGACTTGCTCAGGGTTACACAGGTAGTAAGTCTTACGTGTCTGAGGCTGGATTTGAGCTCAGGTCCTCCTGAATCCAGGGCTGATGCTCTATCCAGTGTGCCACCTAGCCGCTCCCAATGGATAAAGGTTTACATCATATGGAATGTGGTTTATTCATACTTTCTATTTTTCAAAATGGTAACTATGACACCAAGGAGTGCGTAAGTATTGTAGCTTCATGTTTTGTTGTTACTGTGAAGGAGAAAACAGCGAAGCTTAAGACTGAACCATTTGACTCTTTCTCTTCTTGTCTCTTCTCAGTTCAAAATGTTTACATTTCATAAGAGCCAGCATCTCTTTAGACCTACTGTTGAGCTTCACATGTTCCAGCCTCATGACAATTGGATAAATCTTTTTTGTGGCCTTAGCCATTCATTCATTCATTTATTTATTTGTGAAAATTGGTTTTGTTTGACCATCACAGCCACTGTGCTTCCAGTCATAGTGTCTTTACTCTGATCCTAGAGAGTTGTTGCTCTTCTCATACTCTTGATTTTGTGTTGCTGGTGCTTTGCTGTACTTGCAACAAGTTCTGCAGTTTGGAGGACAGAAAAATGTCAGCTGCAGCTTTCACCGGAAGAGCTGGTTTAATTTAAATAATAATTGCTTAGCTGATTCAGACTTTGTGTATAGGCTTCTTTTTTTATGTGTGAAGTTATTAACTTTATGCTTGTGAGGAAAGAAAATTTTAGTCAGAAGCATTGTTCAGAGGTTTGGGTAAATTTCTCAGATAGGGTGCTTGGTGATCATTTAGCTTCTGTTTTTTAAAAATGTTACTTGCATTATGTAGTTTAATCCAGATAACACTTTTCTGTGTGTCAGCTCTGTCTTCAAGAGCAATGTCTTAGGTCTTGTGAATGTCTTTATAATATGAGATACTATCTCTTCTCTGAGTTTTCATGATACTACTATGTCTTAGTTTTCTTTCTACCTGTCAGACTTGTCCCCAGTCTTCTCTGTGGTATAATCTTCCACATCTGGCTTCCATGCATTCCACAGGGTTCACTTCTCTTTCCTTTCCTATACCTGTAATTTCTCTTGATTTTAAAATTCATGATTTACCTATCATCCTTATGCAGATGACTTCTAAATTTTCATATCTCGTCTGATCTCTGGGCTTTATTCAAATCCCACATCTCTAAGTGGCTGCTTGACATCTCTACTTGGATGTCTTATAGGTATCTCAAATTCACCTTGTCCAAAACAGAATTAATTATCTTTCTTCCTAAAGCTACCCCTTCTCCACACTTCCCTATTTCTACCCCATTCTTCCGGTTCACATATGTTTGTGACCTCAGAGTCATGATTCTCTTCATTCTCCCTTGCCCCCTTACCCAGTCAGTTGCCAGACATTGTCAATTTCACCTTCTTAACATCTCTTGGATCTGTCTTCTCTCTCTTCACTTAATTGACTTGCTCAGGCTCAGGTTTTCAGCTCCTTTCACCTGGACTATTGTAAAATAAATACTAGTCCTAATCATTCTGCCTGCTTCTCCTCTTTCCCCTCTCAAATACATTCTTCATGGAATTGTTAATTGATGTTCCTAAAGCCCAGGTCTGGACACATGACTCTTCTCTATATGAAACTTCTGTGGCTTCCCATTGCCTTTAGGATAAAATAGAAACTGCTCTGTTTGATGTGTAAAATTCCTTTGCAGTCAAAATCCAGTCGATTTTTAAAAATTCATTATATATTACTCCCTTTCAAGCTTTCTGTACTGTAGTCAGATTGGCTTATTCTTCTGTGTAAACGACATTATATCTCCTGCCTCTATGCCTTTCTTTGCACTGCTTGTCCCCTGGGCCTGGAATGCTTTTCTTTTGCAAAACTGCATCTTGGAATCCTTTTTCCTTTCAAAGCTCAGTTGAAATACAGATTCATTCAAGAGACCTTTTCTGTTTCTTCCAGTTGTTAGTGAACAGTACCCCAAATTAGTAGGTATTTTTAATATATCCTGTATTTACTGAGGTGAGCATGTCGTATTGGGCTGTTAGCTTCTTGGGCAGAGACTGTCTCACTCATATCCATCTAGCAAAGTTCCTGACACATAGTCGGCACTTAAATTTTTTAGATTAGTTTCATTCTTTTCTAGACAAATTTTGTTGCTGCTGTATAGATAGTTTTTCTTTTCACCTGACTCCAGATTCTCCTCTGTCAAAGGCAAAGTTAATGTGCTTTCAAAGGTAGTTAATTTATAGAGAGAAGTAAATGCTCTGTATAAATAAAAACAAAGCCAGTTATTGCTCAGTGTAGGAAAAGGAGGTAAGAATTAAAAAGTATGGTTTTCATAATATATTTAATAAACAGCAAAAATAATACTGTGGTCATCTTGAAGTTTTGTAGAGTCCTGATCTGGGACTCAGGAAAAACCAGGGCGTAAGAGACCTATCTCTGTCACTTACTAGCTGTGTAACATAGATGAATAATACAGGATCATAGAATACAAGGTGGCAGGGATGAGAAAATTGAGGCCAAAGGAGGTTTAGGTGTCTTATACATAGTGGCACAGGTGGTAAATAAATGGCAGAGCTGGCATTTGTACTACATCTTCTGACTCATGATCCATCCCTTTTTCTGCTTTACATGCTGCCTCTCTTCACTTTCTGAGAGTCATTTTCCTCATCTATAAAATGAGGGGGTTAGGCTTGATGAGCATTTAATTATCTTTTCTTGTTGTTGTACAGATGTTTTAGTCAGATATATCTGACTCTTTGTGACTCTGTTTGGGATTTTCTTGGCAGAGGTGCTAGAATGGTTTTCCTTTTTCAGCTTATTTTGCAGATGAGAAAGCAGAGGTAAACGGGGTTAAGTGACTTGTCCAGGGTCACACAGCTAGTACAAATGTCTGAGGCCAGATTTGAACTCATGAAGATGAGTCTTCCTGATTCCAGGTCCAGCACTCTATCCACTGTGCCATCTAGCTCCCCAGTCATCTATGTAATGCTATACTTATTTTACTAGTGTCATTGTTTTGCTGGTATAGGCTTTAGAGTTGACTGAAGCAGGAACATAGATTTAGAGATGGAAAGGACCTTCAGGGTCATCTAACTACTTGCTGTCACTTCAGATGGAAATATTAGGATGAAAAATGTTAGAACTATATAATTTATAGGTATTTGTAAGTCACAGATAATTTTGTTATTTAATGCACATAGTCTTTATATTGGCATATTTGAAAACCAAAGCCCTTGCCTTTTATTTTTAGCTTCCAGTTCCTTTGGAGTCTGTAAAAGAGATGCTTAATTCAGTAATGCAAGAACTTGAAGAATATAGTGAAGGAGGACCTCATTGTAAAAATGGTTCGCCCCGAAATATAGATTCTGATATAAAACATTCTATACCATCTCCAACCAAATTTTCTTTATCACCAAGTAAAAGTTACAAGGTATGTAGCAAAGAAAAAGTGTCTTTTATCAAGTAATATGTGGTTTCTCTAAATATTTGTGTTTTTTTTTTTCAAGTTTTCTCCTAAAACTCCTCCTCGATGGGCAGAAGATCAAAATTCTTTATTGAAAATGATCTGCCAACAAGTAGAAGCCATTAAGGTAAATTGCTAAATTTCCTTGAAGAGATTATAGCGTAGGAATTTAATCATACTCTGTGCATTTATTTTACAGATTGCTTGAAACAAAGTGGTTAGGTCAGAATTTCATTACTTAAGTGTTTCAGGAAAGAATAGCTATAATTTAAGATGACTAGTGTTTTTCTAACTATAAGCCCTTAACAAAATAGATGCAAAAAGAAAATCTTTAAGAAAGATTGTAATTTTTTAAAAAAGTTTCACTGTTGCTTTAATTTTTTAGTTTTACACTGAACATTCTTGATATTTCCTCCTCCCATCCTCAGGAACCCTCCTTTGTTAGGCAAAACCAAAAAAACAGATTTTGTCAGATGACTATGTCAGATAGTATATACAATTTCTCTCCTACGTCTCTCCCAAAAGGTGGGATAGATGTATCATCTGTACTTGGGGACCAAGTTTTTGAATTTAATTTTTAAAAATCCGTACTCTTGGAGTGTTTTCCCATGTACTCCACGAGGAGTGAACCACTTTCAAAATTCAAACTATACCTGGCAAGCCCCATGCTTTTTCATACTATCTAGAGGAAGAGTTCTTAAACTGGGGTGAACTTGTTTAATAGATTGGTTTTTTAAAAGTATATGACCTTGGGCAAATCACTTAACGTCTCCATATAGCTTACTAAAGCAGGAGAACTTAATCTTTTTTTCCCCTTGTCATTTATCTTTTGACTATCTGGTGAAGCCCCTGGCTGCCTTCTCATAATATTTTTAAATATATAAAATATGTATTTACAAACCAATTCTATTGAAAAAGATTTGATAATTTTTAAGTTTGGACTCCAGGTTAAGCCTTCTTGCTTTAAGTTGGAGAACAGGTGGTGTTTTATCTGCATTGGTAGAGAGCACTTTTGCTATAGGAATGAAATCATAGGTCCAGTCCCTTCTTTCATTACCCTCCCCCCAAAAGAAGAAAACAGACTAACCCAGGTATTCTATACTGGCTGTTTTCTGATTATTTCCATTTTCTTAAAAATATATTCTCACCCCCTTAATTTGCATTTTCTGGGAATATACTACCACCCTATATTAGTTTCAGGATTTAAAAGAGGTTTGAGTAGTATTTTTTCTAAAACTTTGCATCCCTGGCCATGTCAAAAGCAGCCATAAAAGGTTAGTTAAAAGCAGATATATAAGGGAGTATAGTAGCCTTCATATAAAAAGCAAAAGACTAAAGAGGTGCTTTTTAAAGTATCTTGCTTTCATTGTGGGTCAAGTGTTTATTGAACTGTTTGCTACTCTAATTGCCAATATTAATGTAGTGCTTGAAGGATTACAAAGAGCTTTACATAAGTTATCTCATTTTTTCTCTGTGACATTCTTTTTTTTTCATTCTTTTTTTTCTTTTTAGGCAATTGGGGTTAAATGACTTGCCCAGGGTCACACAGCTAGTAAGTGTCTGAGTCCAGATTTGAACTCAGGTCTTCCTGACTCCAGGGCTGGTGCTCTATCCGCTGCACCATCTATCTGCCCCTCTCTGCGACATTCTTGTGAGATAGGTGTTGCTATTATCCCCTTTTACAGCTGAGGAAACAGACTGAGGGAAATTAAACAACTTGCCCAAGGTCACATAGCTAGTAAATGACTGAGCCCAGGATGTGAATTCCAGACTTCAGGTCTGGCACTCTGTCCACTATACTGCCAAGCTGTCTGTAGAACAGTAAACTCCACACCAGTAACACTTGAAGCCTTATAACGTGACTGTTAAAAACATGTAAATTTTTAAAAAAGGAACCTATTAATTTCCGGTATAAATCAATTTTTGGCACCCAGAGCCTTTCAAAAATGTAATTATTAGTATATTGCTAATGGATATTTGTATGTAGATATTTTATGGATTTTAAGTTTTTGTTTTACTGGTGTTCTCATAATTTTAATGTTTTTAGTGACTATCATAGAACTAATTCTTATTGAATTATATTTTTAATAGAAAGAAATGCATGAGTTGAAGCTAAACAGTAGTAATTCTATGTCTCCACATCGTTGGCCTGCAGAAGCCTATGGAACAGATTCAGTGCCTGATGGGTATCAGGGATCACAAAATTACCATGGAGCTCCACTAACAGGTAGAATGAGTTAGTAATTACCTAAAGCTTTTTACATTAAAATTTTTTTTTAGCTTTTTCTTTCTGTTCAAATATTAGGCAACTTAGAAGGTGACTTGGATGAAATCCTTCTACATTTGTTTTAACAGCTTATTAAGAGTTCTGTAGCAGTGTGATAAGAAAATCTGTATCTTGTATTGCGATGGAAGTATTCACTATAAAGTTACAAAAATCTGTCCTCTGGAAATATAACTATTGAATTGTTTTCTTCTGATGGGCAAAAAGATAGTCATAGGATTTCATGCTGGCAGAAATAGAGTTGAAACGGATATTTTTTTTCATGTAAATGTTTTGCTTTATAAATTGGAAACAGAGAAAAGAATTTTCAAGAAGAAAAGAATACCAGAACCTCAGGGGAATTGTTTTAGTTGTCGGCTCTATAAGGGAGAGTAAAAACAGGAATGATTATTTAGCTGAAGTACCAGTCAGTGGCTATAGTGGCTTTCCTGGACACTTGGATTGTGTAGTCAGAAAACTAAGAACAAATATCAGGAGTTTTGTCACTGGAATAGCATATATGTAGTGATGTATAATTTCAAAATAGTATTCTGATCATTGCCTATGCTTAACTATGTAGTAGGTTCTTTTTTTAGCATAAATTTAAAAATACTTTGTTGAAAAGAGATTATTTATAGATTTCTGTTAAGTATGCTTCTAGGGAACTTGACTGTTTACACTGAAAAGGTAATTTGGTGGTTGCAGCAGAGTCTTACCCATAAATAAATTAGAAAGGGGGGGAAGGCTTTAAGTCTCAATATTGATAGTAGGTATCACAGGCAATAAAATCTGGAAGGTGTTCAGACCTTTCAATATTTAAGTAATTAGCATCTTACATTTATGTAGATAGCATTTTCTACTTTATAGCATTGCTTTTGGACAGCTTTGTAGGAAGTAGATAAAACAGGTGTTTAAAAGATGCCAGCTGAGGCATACAGATTCATGGATATTGTTACACCACAAATAATTGGCAAGGCTGGCCCAGTGCTTGTAGGTGTTGTGTGGAAATAAGCATTCACCCAGGGACACTTAAGTTCACTGGTACTATTGAACTTGAACAGGCTTTTTTCTCTTTTTCAGTTGCAACTACTGGCCCTTCAGTGTATTACAGTCAGTCACCAGCATATAATTCCCAGTATCTTCTCAGAACAACAGCTAATGTTACACCGACAAAGGTAACAAAAGCTAGTATTTATAAATACTTCACTTAGCTTAGTTTTTCCTCTTCAGAGTTTAGGCCTCTGAAATATTTAAGAGATCATGCAGAACTGAAACTTGTAAAACTCTCAGATGTATTTTAAATCTCTTTCCAGGTTAAAAAACAAATATAAACTATATAGTGTGAAACCTCTTCTTTATAATATTTGTTATAGAGGTAAAATTTCTTAATATTCTACCCTTTGTTTTGGGGGGTGGGGTGCACGAGGCAGCTGGTGTTAAGTGACTTGCCCAGAGTCACACATCTAGTAAGTGTTATGTGTCTGAGGGCAGATTTGAGCTCAGGTCCTCCTGACTCCAGGGCTAATTCTCTATTCACTGTGATATTTTACCCATTTTGAGGGAAAAGGGAGAAGAATCTTTGTTACACTTTTAACCAGTCATCGTTGTGGTAAGCTCCTGGTGGCCTGGAAATTTGTTTTACTATTTGTCCATGTACAGGAATAAAGGCAGGAAGTGGGTGTTCATAATTGTAATATGGTACAAGATCATTTGATCACATATATGTGCCAAAGAAGAATATAGATCTCCTTTGGGTCCTCACTGTGAACCTTCAGGGTATCATCTCACATCCATTGACTCTAATTACTCTGAGATTTATTAAAAATATTTTGGGAGGTGGCAGGACATTAGATGTTTAATATTTGTAAGAAAGTCTGCTAATTTTGTTTTTTAATTTATAGGCTCCAGTTTATGGCATGAACCGGCTTACACCTCAGCAGCATATTTATGCTTATCCACAACAAATGCATACACCTCCAGTGCAAAATCCACCTGCCTGTATGTTCTCTCAAGAAATGTATGGTCCTCCATTGCGTTTTGATTCTCCTGCAACTGGAATTCTGTCACCACGAGATGATTACTTTAATTATAATGTTCAACAGGCAAGCACAAATCCACCTTTGCCTGAACCTGGTTATTTCACAAAACCTCCAGTTGTACCTCATCCTTCAAAATCTTCAGAATCCAGGGTTATAGAATTTGGGAAATCTAACTTTGGACAGCCTATGCCAGGTGAAGGAGTGAGGCAACCTTTAACAACATCGGCACAAGCAGCACAGCCAACTACCTTTAAATTTAACTCCAATTTTAAATCCAATGATGGTGACTTTACATTTTCATCACCTGAAGTTGTGGGGCACCCTCCTCCTGCAGCTTTTGGTAACAGTGAGAGCCTCCTAGGTCTCCTAACTTCAGATAAACCTTCACACGATGATGGCTACGGTGGAACAAAACCAGTTCCTAGTCAGACAGGTGCACCAAGGAATACGTTCAGTTTTGGTAGCAAAAATATTTCTAATGTTTCATTTACAGAAGGCGTGGGACACAGTCAATGTAAAAATTCTCTTTTTGGTCGTAATGATGACGTGTTTACTTTCCAAAGTCCAGGCAAAACAGTGTTTGGGACACCAACTCCAGACTTAGCAAATAAGAGTCACGAAACAGATGGAGGAAGTGCCCATGGAGATGATGATGATGATGGCCCTCACTTTGAACCAGTAGTTCCACTTCCTGATAAGATAGAAGTGAAAACTGGTGAGGAAGATGAAGAAGAATTCTTTTGTAATCGTGCAAAATTATTCCGCTTTGATGCAGAATCTAAAGAATGGAAGGAGCGAGGCATTGGCAATGTGAAGATATTGAGGCATAAAACATCTGGCAAAATTCGTCTTCTCATGAGACGAGAGCAAGTACTCAAAATATGTGCAAATCATTATATAAATCCAGATATGAAACTGACACCCAATGCTGGCTCAGATAAATCATTTGTATGGCACGCTCTTGACTATGCAGATGAATCACCAAAGCCAGAGCAACTTGCTATTAAGTTTAAAACTCCAGAGGAGGCAGCTCATTTCAAACGTAAGTTTGAAGAGGCCCAGGAAATCTTAAGAACTGCAGCTTCAAATATTTCCACAGCAAATCAAAGTGTTAGAGTTTTGAAAGACACCAAGAACCAGGATAGCAAGGATACTGGAAAACCTGACTCAGGACATCCAAATTTTGGTTTCCAAATGTCAAGGAAAGATGGGCTATGGGATTGTAACAGTTGCTCAGTAAAGAATGTTGCAACAGCAAAGAAATGTGTATCATGCAAAAACCTAAATCCAAATAACAAAGAGCCTTTGGGCCCACCATTAGTTGAAAACACTTCAGCTTTTAAGCCTGGCACAGAAAAGACTCAAGAAGGATTTGGATTGATTGCTAAGAAAGAGGATCACTGGGATTGCAGTGTGTGTTTAGTGAGGAATGAACCGACAGTATCTAAGTGTATAGCCTGCCAAAATACAAACACGTCGAATAAAAGTGTTCCATCCTTTAGTCAGCAAACTTCCTTCAAGTTTGGCCAGGGAGAACTTTCTAAGCCTGTTACCAGTGATTTGGGAACTCTGTTTCCTAAGAAGGATGGACAGTGGAATTGCAGTGTGTGTCTGGTGCAGAATGAAGCAAATGCTAAAAAGTGTATTGCTTGTCAGAATCCAAATTCACAAAGTCAACCCAGTTCCAAGATTCTAGCACCTCCTGCTTTGAAGCTTAGTACTCCAGAGACCAGCAAGTCTACTAAGGGTGGATTTGAGGGAATGTTTACTAAGAAGGAAGGACAATGGGACTGTAGTGTTTGCTTAGTACGAAATGAAAGCTCTTCCTTGAAATGTGTGGCCTGTGAAGCACCAAATCCAGTCGATAAAGCAGAAGCTTCTTCAGATTTTACATTTGGCTTCAAAAGTAAATTATCTGAACCTTCTGGGAGTCAGATGGCAACTGGCTTTAAGTGTGACTTTTCAGAAAAAGCTTTTAAATTTGGCAGTGCAGAACAGGGTTTTAAATTTGGTCATGTTGAGCAAGGAAGCTCACCTTCTTCCTTCACATTTCAGGTTCCCTCTAGTACGGAAGCTAAACCCACAAAAGAAGGATTTAGTTTTACTATGCCTGCATCTGCTGGTGGATTTAAATTTGGCATACAGGAATCTGGTGATCAAAAAGGTAATGAGAAGTCCATTGAAGAAGATGCTGCTTTCAAGTCTCATGATGTTAATAACAAACAAGATAGTAGTGATTTAGTGTTTGGACACAGTAGTAGCAATTTCACTTTTGCTGACCTCGCAAAGTCAGGGGAAGGATTTCAGTTTGGCAAAAAAGATCCAAATTTTAAAGGATTTTCAGGTGCAGGGGAAAAACTTTTTTCATCACAGAGTGCTAAAGTGTCCTCTCCTAAGGCCAATACATCATCAGACCTTGAGAAAGATGATGATGCATATAAGACTGAGGACAATGATGATATCCATTTCGAACCTGTAGTTCAGATGCCTGAAAAAGTGGAGCTTGTTACAGGAGAAGAAGATGAAAAGGTTCTGTATTCGCAAAGGGTGAAGTTATTTAGATTTGATGCAGAGATAAGTCAGTGGAAAGAAAGGGGCCTAGGAAATTTAAAGATTCTTAAAAATGAAGTCAATGGCAAACTAAGAATGCTGATGCGACGAGAACAAGTACTCAAAGTGTGTGCTAATCATTGGATCACTACTACAATGAACCTTAAACCTTTATCTGGGTCAGACAGAGCATGGATGTGGCTAGCCAGTGATTTTTCTGATGGAGATGCTAAACTGGAACAGTTAGCAGCTAAGTTTAAAACACCAGAGCTGGCTGAAGAATTCAAACAGAAATTTGAAGAATGCCAGAGACTTTTATTAGACATACCACTTCAGACGCCTCATAAACTTGTCGATACCGGCAGAGCTGCCAAACTAATACAGAGAGCTGAAGAAATGAAAAGTGGACTCAAAGATCTCAAAACGTTTTTGACGAATGACAAAAAGCTCACTGAGGAAGAGAATAACAGTTCAAGCTTAGCAGTGAGTACTTCTGACTTAACAGTAAAACCACATGCTGAAACTACTGGACCTTCATTAGAATGGGATAACTATGACTTAAGAGAGGATGCTTTGGATGATAGTGTAAGTAGTAGTTCGGTATATGCATCTCCATTATCAAATAGTCCTGTGAGAAAAAATCTCTTCCGCTTTGGTGATTCAACAACAGGATTTAATTTCAGTTTTAAGTCTGCTTTGAGTCCATCCAAATCCCCTGCCAAGTTGAATCAGAGTGGGACTTCTGTTGGCACTGATGAAGAGTCTGATGTTACCCAAGAAGAGGAGAAAGATGGACAGTATTTTGAGCCGGTCGTACCATTACCTGATCTGGTAGAAGTGTCCAGTGGTGAGGAAAATGAGCAAGTTATCTTTAGTCATCGAGCCAAACTCTATAGATATGACAAAGATGCTGGCCAGTGGAAGGAAAGAGGAATAGGTGACATAAAGATTTTGCAGAATTATGATAATAAACATGTACGAATAGTGATGCGAAGAGACCAAGTATTAAAACTGTGTGCCAATCATAGAGTAACACCAGACATGACTTTGCAAAACATGAAAGGGACAGAAAGAGTTTGGGTTTGGACTGCGTGTGACTTTGCTGATGGAGAAAGAAAAGTAGAACAATTAGCTGTCCGTTTTAAACTACAGGATGTTGCAGATGCATTCAAGCAAATTTTTGATGAAGCAAAACAGGCCCAAGAAAAAGATATCTTGCTAATGCCACACTTTTCCCGTGCTGCCACTCCTCGAGAATTCGCATGTGGTAAAATTGCGGTAGCTGTATTAGAAGAAACCACAAGGGAGAGAACAGATTTAAACCAGGGTTCTGATACAACAGATACAGTTGTAGAAGTTGGAGAAGTATGTAGCACTTCTGAAACACCAACAAAAGCAGTTGTTTCTCCTCCAAAGTTTGTTTTTGGCTCTGAATCTGTTAAAAGCATTTTTAGTAGTGAGAAAGCAAAACCATTTGCATTTGGCAACAGTTCAACTACAGGTTCTTTATTTGGATTCAGCTTTAATGCACCTTTGAAAAATAAAAGTGGGGAAGATGTTTCAGATGAGATTGAAAGAAAATCAGAACCTAGTAAATGTGAAGCACAGAAGAGCTCAAACATCAAGCCATTTGCAGAAAGCAAAGCAGAAAAGCCCTTGACTCCTTTTCCAAAGGAAGAGCCCTCGACTAATTATGCATTTAAAACATTAGAAAAGGGTAAGTGTAAAGTTAATTTTTCATATTTAAAAATAATTCTTATGTTTAAAAACTTAAAATAATGCTGATCACTTTGTTTTGTATACAATTATGTATTAGTAGGAGCTAGGTTAATTTGAATTCTCTTATAGACAACTTTTGGAATGTTTCTCAAATATGCTCATGAGCAAGTATTTTTTAGACTGATTTCTGGTAAAAATCTTAGTGTACTTGTACAGAATTCTTAATATTTGACGTGAGGCTTATCTCAAGGATTAATATTTTACTGTAACATTGGGTTAAAAATTGCATTTAGTAAAGGTGCTTGGTATAGAGTATTGGATTCTTTTAAAGGAGATGTAACTTACCCCTAGAATGTTTAAATTTAATTTTCTCAGTCAAAATTATGAGACTACTAAACTTGGGTTGAGAGCTAATTTGAAAAGTATTTCAATCTCATAGAGATGCAGAGTCTTTAATTACTCTTATTTAGTATTGTGTTCTATGAAGATAGAATTTAAATTTCATTTTAAAAATTTCATTTTTTTCATTTGAGTGTGACTTGTAGTTGCATTACATGGCAACACCGTATATGCTTTGGAGGTGAATTGAACTTGAGCTTAGAGCTTATTATAGTAAATGAACGTTTATCTAAATGAATAGTGGTTGAGTTGTAGATGAATCTGGGGGATGCCTGACCAATTGAAAATCTAGTCCTATGAAACAGTTTATATTAGGCAACATGGATAGATTAGAATTTCTTAAACTAGTTTGACCATGGAACATTTTGGACAGAAAGTAATACAGGAAACCAATGTTCTACAGAAAAAAAACCCCAATTATTTTTAAAGCTTTTTTTCATGTTTAGATTACATTCTGAAAATATGTTTGAAAAACATTTCAGAGAGGTAGCATCACACACAAAAAAGACAGTTTTGTACTTGAAAGCAAAGATTTCTCTTACCCCCTTTTCTGCAGTATACTTTTCTGGCAAGATTTTCTGGTGAAATCTTCATCCTTTCTCATAGTGTTTTTAAATATACAAAAGATAGATTACCAAGGAAACCAATTACATTGAAATATGTTTATCAAATTTTTTTTTAAAGTTCGCCTCAGCTTTAAAAGAACATCCTTTTTTCCCATGCATTTTTAGTTTTCCCACATAACCTCTGTAAAAGTTGGTTAAATGGCCAGTTCACTTTCATATTTGCAGTCATTAAGAATATTTACGTTTGAGTGAAGGTTAATAGAATTAATTACACATAGTACTGAAATTTTGTTGTTAATACAGTATTTTGTTAAAGACAAATGTAAAATCTTTTGAAAGAGATCACATAAATGTGGCTTTTTATGTTTGAAAATGGCTGCATTTCTAGGTAATTTTGTAGGTGAAGTTTAGTTTTAACTTTGTCCTCAAATTTTTGCATCCCTCTGATACACTTACTTTGTTAACTGAAAGAATTCTCTCCATGAATTTTAAGAAATTGATAGTTAATTTCTGCAGAAGTCAGTTTTTGTTTTAAAAATGAATTATGCAGTATACTTTGGGAAGGATAGCAGCTATTTTAAATTCAAGATATTTGGATAACTGATCTACTTTACACAAACCAAAAAAAAGTTGTTTGCAACAAAGTTACTACTGTTCTATGTGTAATATTCTGGCAATTAACATTAACTTTCTTTTTAGACAGTCATCCAAGCACACATTTGATTTCATATAAGATCATAGATCTAGAACTGGAAAGCACCTCAGAGGCCATCTAGTCCTACCCCCTCATTTTACTGATGAGGAAACTGAGGCCTACAGGGTAACACAGGTAGTGTCAGAACCAGGTCCTGACAGTGTTCTTACTGATAAACTATAACTAGAGAATCTTTAAACAGTTGCATTACTGTTGCTTGACTAATTTATAGAATATACTAATTAGAAACTGTAGTTATACTGGTTTAATGATTTATCTGGCACAGTGCAGAGTATAAAAAAGTCTGACATAACTTTTTAAAAAGCCTGCTATGAAGTAAATGTGGGTCCTTACCAATATTGACCTTTAACTTTCAATCATAGTAGTTAACTACAGGGGTGTTTTGAAGTATACCTGAAAAAGCACAGGTGATTTTTTTCACTGGGTATGTTTTTTTTTTCTTCAGAGGTGTGGTCAAAATACTTAAAATTGTGATTCAGTGGAAACTGATATGTGATCTATTTAATTCCTAAGTCATTATGGGGACTGACCTATGAATTTGTGATTTTCGTGTGTGTGTGTGTGTGTGTGTGTGTGTGTGTGTGTGTGTGTGTGTGTGTGTAGGTGGGGAGGAAGGGTTTGTTTTTAAGAGAGAAAAGGAAAATAAAATCAAATTTTATTTTGTCCCTCTAAACACCCAAATCCTTAACATTGTTTATTTTCTAGGATTTAATTTTAGTCTTTTTAAATCTAATCCAATGGCCTTTTGGACCAGTACCCCCTCCTCACAGCCTGAGAGCAAAGGTATAAAGTGCACTCAGTGTGAGATGACTTTAGTTTTCTTAGCAGTTGGCAGTCTTGACAAAGTAGTTTTGCTTCATAAAATTAAGTTTTTAACAGTTTACAGCATGCATGTTAAAGAAAGCTGGTTTAGGTGAAGACATCTCTTGATAGTAGTTTAACACACTGTAATGCTTGCACATAGTTGTTCTTATTGCCTTATTTTTTTTGAGAGGGTAGTTAGTTCTAAGCAGTCACTACTTCTTGCTGTGTTGCATTTCACTGTTGCTCTCATTTTGACACTCACTACTTGCTGCCTTTACTTCTCAATGCCTTGTATTTGTTCCCTCAACAGTGCTGGACTGTAAGAAATATAAATCAGGAAATAATGTGTTACATAGTTAACTATCATGTGTCTGTTTTAGGAAACAATCTTCAAGTATTGCAAGTAAAAGGTGACTGCCTGTAACAAATTTTTCCATTATATTGTTGGTAAAAAAGATTTCTGTAGGGTATTATATACACTGATCTCCTGTATCTCCATGTACATAAATATTTACTGAATTTCTTTAGGCTCCAACTCACAAAGTATATTTTGAATGTACATGTGTTAATAAGCTCTACTGGGTGTAGGTAGTTTAAATTAAAAAAAAAATCCTAGAGCCCTCGCTGTTGGAAAGAATTAGAGCTATATTATAAACTGAAAATGAGACAGCAGGAATCAGTCTTGGGCATATAATTTGGAAGAGACTTAGATCACCTCAGGATTAGATTCTAACAAGCTTGCATCTTACAAGTAAAGAAATATTTTGAGTCCTAGAAAAAATGAAATGACTTGCAAAGATTATAAAGCTAAGATCAGAACCTAGGGTTTCCTGACTTCGTTTCTTGTCTAACAATCACTATACTATTTGTATGCCCCTTTCCCTTATATTCCTCCAGCACAGAGTTATGAGTATTCTTACAGTATGTGGTAATGAGAAAATGTTCGTTGTGATGACAGCAGGGGAAAAGGGAGAAAATTTATTTCACTTACAGTCGACTGAGGAATGATCACTACCATGCATGAATTAGTTTAATATTGTTGCTAGTCTCTGTAGCCAAAAATTTGACTAGCTCTTTCTAAGTCTATTCCCCTGTCCTGTAAACAAGCGGTTATTTTAGGATCAAGAATTTTAAGTTTTTGCATGATTTTTAACCATAGAGGTTTTACCTAAAGGTGAAGTATTGAAGCTCAGATGAACATTTTTGGGGTGTATTCTTTAATACTGTGTTGGGGTTTGTGTGTGTGTGTGTGTCTTTAAAGCCTTAATCTGGCAAAAAAGGAGCTTTTAAACTAATACTACATAACATTTTTGGGGAATTTCTGAGATTTCCCTGCAGGTGAAAATCAAGTTTGACTTTTTATTTAGACTGTATTAACTAATTTTATAATATGTTTTCCTAACTTAAGGTATTTCTTCAGTTGCATGTGCATGGCTCTTTACTAGTTATTATTAGCATGTAAAAGGCTCTTTTCTAATAATTTACATTTTATAAAGTTTTAGGAATTGGATTATAATGTATGTGTTATTTTACCCTAAATAAGTAAAAACAGTTCTTTAAAACTATAAACGATCTTGTATTTAATGAAGATAGCAGTGTGTTCATAGAATGTAAACAAAATGAAATGATTCTTTTATGAGTTTTTTGGAATAAAATGTATTTTTTTTATACCTTATTGTAGAAATTATTCTGTAGTTATGATTTTAGACTCAAGTAATGATGTATTATTTAAAACTTAGGCTTTGTAATTTTGCTTCATTTCTTATAGCTGAGATAAAGAAGGAACCAGAAGAACTTTCCACAGATGATGTACTCATTGTATATGAACTAACTCCTACTCCTGAACAAAAAGATCTTGCTATCAGTCTTAAACTTCCTCCAACTTTTTTCTGCTATAAGAATAGACCAGATTACATTAGTGAGGAAGAAGATGATGGTAAGGCCCCATCTCATTCCACCCTGTTGTCTTCTAGTATTGTAGAAATATAATAAACATTTAGGTATTAATATGAATATTTAAGATGCCTTACTACAGTGTTTATATAAGATTTCCCAAAAGCCTTAATGCAGTTTTAAGTTAATTAAGATACTGAAGCTTAAAACTGCACCAAGACTTTTTGAGAAATCTTCTATTTAGTTTGCTTTGTGGAATTAGAATAATCTTCAAATCATAGAATCTTGGAGTTGTAAGAAATCTTAGAGTCCATCCCGCATATATTAAAGCATGAATCCTTTCTGTAACATGTACAAGTATATATGTGGCTGCTGTGATTTTGTTATGTGGAAACTCTGTTCAATGATGAAGGTTGCAGCCTGTCTCAGGGAGTTGCTTGATGCTTATGTTTGTCTTATTCACACAGCTAGTAAATGTCAAAGGTAGGATCTGAACAGTCTTTTTAACCCTCAAGTCTAGTATTATGTCTGTTTGGTCACATTAGCCACTGGCTTCTATTTATATTACTTGAATTCAGTGGTGTTTCACTTACCGTCATCACATATTGCCATCCAAATTTCCAACATTTAATCATATTTGATGCTACCAATCATATTTTTAAGATGAAGATTTTGAATCAGCTGTCAAGAAACTTAATGGAAAGTTGTATCCAGATGACCCAGATGAATGTAAAGGATCCCAAGAATTTGTAACAGGTAAACTAATATAGAATAATGGTTATATTACTTAAACATTCTGTAGATTGATAAATTTCATAGTCTTTATTTAACATCAAACAAAAAAGTACATATATACTTCCATAGAAATTTATGACTTCAAACTATACAAATGACTGTTGTTTTGATAAGTGAATTTTAATGAAGTTAACTGTAAATGGTAAATAGAAATTACACTTACCCTAAGTATATCATTATAAAATAAGATGTATGTGGCTAGGAGAAGGGGAAAAAACTTTCCATTATACTGGAGGGAAAATATTTTATGTAATTGGATAAGATAATTATATAATTGTACTGTAGATTACTTTTATGGATTCTGGGATTTATACTGAGTTTTCTGTTTACTTGTCTGTTGCATCATTTTTTTCCAATTCATGGTCTTTCCTTGAAACTTCAGAAAATTTTTCTGAATCTAAAAATCCCATACTCTTAAATCCATTTTCCCCGTGTTTTTTCCTCCTATTTATCTTGGTATTAGTACTGTATAATGAAACTGGACTATATTCTTCTAGTAGGTGTTAGTCTAACATATGATTTACTTTAGACAAAACATTCTTTAAGTTAGAATTTATCAGTAATTCTGTAGCAAGTTTGCTTATTAGGTATAGATGAAACAGTTTGCTGAATTTAAGGTAATTAAATATTTTTTTATTGCAATATGTTGAAAAGAGAACAGTTGTAAACTCCCTCTATTACTGTTTATCACAGAGTGAAAGGACAAGAATGTTTTAGAATTAATTGAATAAGGATTATTTTGATAGAGATAGAAAGGATAGAGGGGAAAGGAGGGGAACAGAAATTATAGGGAAAAGGAAATACTGGTAGAGAAGGAGAGGCAAGATTTGATTTTACTGTGGTAAATGACTGTGCCTACAGGGACATTTTAAAATCACTCCAGCCTCTATTTTGGGCGCATATTATGCTGATTGGTTCATGAAATACATTCTGATATTACTATATTCAAGTACTTTGTCCTTAAGCCTCCTTCACTCTGTTAATGAATTTATGTTGCTTTTGGTGTATTTATTCTTGCAGGAGAAGTTGTTCCAGACCATGATAAAGAATGTGTGATTGTCTGGGAAAAGCAACCAACATCTGAAGAAAAAGCAAAAGCAGAAACTCTAAAACTTCCTCCAACTTTTTTCTGTGGTGTTTGCAGTGATACTGATGAGGATAATAGCCATCCAGAGGACTTTAACTCAGAGGTTCAAAAAGTCCAGGAAGCAAAAGTAAGGATATCTTTATTCTTTATTTCTTTTCTTATATAATTGTTACCTGCTACATTTAGTATTAAGGAAAACCAAACTGACTTTTACTTAATGTCTCATTTTATACAGATAAGAACCTAAATTATCCTCAACATATGTACCCTTTCATTTTCCTCCTTATTGATTCTTTTCCCCCTTTGTGCCATACTTCTTTTTTTTTGGCTTTTTTCTTTCTTTCTGTTTCCTTTTTTGCATTTCCTTTCTTCGCCTTCTCCTGAATATGCTTTAGGAGTGACCAGCAACACTCCATAAGCTTTCTTAAACCTACAGCTGGGTCCCCCAGGTCTTAGTTCTTAAATAAGTTAGCATTTTTATTCTAAAGAAGGTATTGACTGAAACAGAAGTAGATTTCTTTTAAGAATTGTTAATCTAGGGCAGAAGAATTGAAAAGAATAAGAGCTGGTAGCAGAAATGTTAGTCTCTAAGCTGAGCTCGGCTAGTCAAACCTTTCATAGTTTTATTTGAAGCTAAACATTTTTTGGGGGGGGGTGGTTAGGCAGTGGGGTTAAGTGACTTGCCCAGGGTCACACAGGTAGTGTTGTATGTCTGAGGCCAGATTTGAACTCAGGTCCTCCTGAATCCAGGGTCGGTGCTCTATCCACTGCTCCACCTACCTGCCCCCGAAGCTAAACACTTTTATTGTGAATTTATTTGTGTGTTTTGTTTTTAGAAATTGCTTGATGATGATGAGGTTACAAGTTCAACTGATACAGCATCTACTGGAGGGACTAAAGTTCCTGCTTCATTCGTATGTAAATCTGAAGAGCCTGACTCCACTACTGAATCTTCCGATGCAGCGCACAATTCATCTGGGGCTAATGACAAACCTGTAGACTTATCTAATAAAAAAGAAGATGAGGCAGATTCCACAAGCCAAGGTAAAAATTCTGCTTTTACCTGTGGATAGATATGTTTTTTAGGAAAATGTTTACTGAGTGACTATCCATTATATTTTTACATTTTTACATTTTACATTTTATACTGTTTACATGTATGTTTTTTCTGGATAATTTATAAAATTGTTCTAACATGTAAATTGTGTAATGACTTAAAGTAACAGTAACCAGAAATATAATCTACTAATTTAGCTCTGAGCTTATTTTGGCTTCATTAAGATGACTACAAAAGAAAATTCTTGTCAGATGAGATGGTATAGTTAATAGGGGTGGGGAACCTGTGGCCCTGAGGCCACATGTGGTCCTCTAGGTTCTCAAGTGCAGCCCTTAAAATCCCCATCCCTCGTAGTAGAAAGAGTACCAACTCTGGAGTCATCGAGATCCTGGGTTCAGATCCCACCTTCATTATTTACTATCTCAATGACTGTGAGTAAATGGGTAGTTTCTTCATCTGTAAATTGAGAGGGTTGGACCAGATGACGGAGGACCCTTTGAGTTCTAAATCTATGATCCTGTGATCTGTCCTTTGAGATCACAGAATTTGAGTTGCAAAGTGACCACAGTGTCCATCTAGTCTTAACACATAGCTAAACAAGAATCTCCTATACACCATAAATGGCAACTTTTATTTGAAGAACTTCAGTCAGGGAGAGCACATTCTCTCCCATGGCAGCCCATATTCTATTTTAGATCCTTCTAGTTAAGAAAGTATTTCTGGACTAATTCTGCCTCTCTGGAGTTTCTTCCCAATGTCTTCAGTTCTATCTTCTGTGGCTAAGTTTAACATATGACAGCCCTTCTTCAAATACTTGAAGACATTTATAATAACTCCCCCTACATCTTTTCTTCTCCATTTTGTCTTCTGATGTCATAGCTCCTTTTCCTTTAACTGTCTACAATTGTTCCTCTTATTTCCTCCCATGCCTCAACTTCTTGCAGTTCGGTTTCCAGCCTCAACACTCAAATAAAATAGCTCTTTAAAAAGTTGCCATTCATCTGTTAATTGCTGAATTCAGTGGACTCAATCCTTCTAGACATTTCTGTAGCATTTGACAGTCACTATGCTTTCTTTCTTGATACCCCATCTCTCTTGGTTCCCTTCCAGTCTGGCTGTTATTTCTGAGTTTCATTTCCTGGATCTTCATTCACCTTTAACCTTCTGAATGTGTTTGATCCCTAAGGCCCTCTTCTCTCTTGGTAATTTCATTAACTCTCATGGATTGAAAGATTATCTCTATACAGTGATTCTCACATAACATGTCTAATCCTAATTTTTTGTGACTTCCAATCCCACATCATCAGCTACCTGTCAGACATTTCCAGCCATGTGTTCTATAAGTATTTTAATCTCAATCTGTCCCCAAAAAACTCATGTCTCCTCACTTCTCCAAACTTCCTTGTTTCTGTTGAGGGTATCATTATCCTCCTGGTCACTCAGGTTCTCAAACTTGAAGTTATTCTTAATCCTCCCCTTTACCTTTCCATCTTCCTCCAAGTATTCATTCAGTTGAAATGTCTTGACAATTCCACCTCTACAACATCTCTTGAATCCTTTTATTTCTCTCCCTTCAGGTGGCTACTACCCTAGTTCAGGCCTTCATCACCTCTCACTTAAGACTACTGCATTAACATTCTAATTGGACTTATTGTGTCCAATTTCTCCCCTCACTAATTCATCCTTCACACAACTGCTAAAATAATCCTTCTAAGTTGTCATGTCACTTCCTTGCTCGGTAACCTTTAGTTTATTCAAGGCCTTCTCATCTGGCACCAGTCTACCTTTCCATGTTTACTTTACATTAATTTTCTTCATTCACTATTATTTTCCATTCAACCTGTTCCGTCCAACCAACCTACTTGTTGTTCTTTAAATTGGCATTCTCTTGTACCCTCAAGCGGAGGAGGTAGGGGTGAGAAGAAGAGAGAAAGAGAGAGGAAAAAAAAAGAAACCATGCTGTTTTATCACTTCTGTAGAGTGCTTGGAAGAGTGCTATATGCAAGTAGTAGGTACTAATTATTTTTGATGACTTTTGATTTCCACAAGAAAGTATGATATTGTCCAACTGATGTTGTATAGCTCTTACCAGTTGGGAATTGATATACTCTTCCCATCACCTGTCTTGGATAAAGAAGTTATAATGTCATAAATCTTCTATGAAAGATTTTCATTCTTTTTTATTTTATTTTTGATTTAGAAGTAGAAAGAACAGTGTCATTTGGATTTGGTACTAACACGGGATTGTCGTTTGCGGATTTGGCTTCTAGTAATTCTGGAGATTTTGCTTTTGGTTCAAAAGGTAACATAACATTAGACTCAAGGCAACTAATTTCATATATTGGCTGTGTTTCAGATTGCTGTTGTTTAAAAAGCAGAATGTCAGAAATCTAGAATCACATTTAATGATCATAAAGTGTTATAATGAATTGTAGCATTTTAAACTAGTGGCTAATTTTTTTTCCAGTTATGGTTTTATTGATCTGGCCCCTGTCTTTATTTTGGGAGGGAATGACATGAGTGAAGATTTATTGCTTATAGTATCAGCATTCATTTTCCAGTAATACAGTAAGTGTTATATGACATTAACCATGCGGTGTCCCCATTTCTTATCTTGGAGAATTGAAGGATGTGGGTTCAGCAATGTTCTATCTAGGTCCTAGCCTCAGTTTATAGGTCTTTAATTCAGAGTTGTTTTCACTGCTAACAATTTTAAATAGAAGTTGTTTGCTAAATATATTTATAAGGAATAAGTGTCGTATATTAGACATTAGATACCTTATGATAAGGGGTTTAATTTTCATATAGATGTCATTTGGCAAAGAATTCAGAATTTATGATTTTCAGTAATGAATATCTAAATATCTTTAAAAATTTTATTTCTTAGATAAAAATTTCCAGTGGGCAAATACTGGAGCAGCTGTGTTTGGGAGGCAAGCAACCCGTAAAAGTGGAGAAGATGAAGAAGGTAGTGATGAAGAAGTTGTACATAATGAAGATATACATTTTGAGCCAATTGTTTCTTTACCAGAGGTAATTAATTAGAGTTATTGATTAACAAGATGTCATTAGCATATAATGGCACATATGTTTATAGTGCTTTAAATTTTACAAAGCCCTTTACATTTTTTATCTCATTTGATCCTCATAACTTGAGGTAGGTAATACAAATATTATAGCTATTTGACACAACATGAGGCAATTAATGTTTAGCAATATTAGGTGACTTGTCCTCTGTAAACCCCTTAGTTGATGAATATCAGTCCCATTTGCAGTCATTTAAGTTTTTTAAAATGCCTGTTGATCTTTGAGTTTAAAAAAACCCCAACACTTTTTATGCTTATTATCTGATGTTGACATTTTAGTATTTTTGAACAAAGATCTTATCCCAAGCTTATGCTCATAAAATACCATCCATTACACAGGCAGTTTTTCAGACTATTTATCCTTTGGTTTTGAAGGATCTAGTGATAGGGAAGGAATAACATTTTATTTTAGCTTCATCTATATAAAGTATTTAGCCATCAACAAATTCCAAATACAAAAGTTACTAAAAATTACTTATTTTTAAAAGAAAGGCTGTTAGGGACCTGAGTTCAAATCCGGCCTCAGACACATAACATTTTAGCTGTGTGACGCTGGGCAAGTCACTTAACCTCCATTGCCCAACCAAAAAAAAAAAGAAAGAAAGAAAGAAAGGCTGTTAAATTCTTTAAGACTCTAAACAAAACATAGTATATGTGTTTTTTTTTTAAGCCTAAGAATTACAAGTAGGGTTTTTCTTTTTTCCTTCATTTCTTTTTCTTTCCTCTTTTGCTTCCCTTTTCTTTTCTTTCTCTTGTTTTCTACTTCATAACATGTGTAGGGAAACATGCCTGTTTTTATCAAAACATTGCTGCCCATTTGCTTATTAGGACTTTATCCTTTCTCAACTGTAGTCCTATAGCTATGCGTTCTTTAATCTTTTGCCACTACTAGCTTTCTGATATAAAAATCTCTTACCCTCTTCTCTTTTCTCAAATTCTATAAACCTCCATCACAAAAATTCCTATATACAAGGAGGACAGTTTGGACAGGGGAGAAGTATGATCTCTATCAAGTATTTGGTTCTGATGTGGAAAAGGGATAAACTTGGTTTCAGACCTAGATGCAATGGATAGAAGTTAGATATAGGTAGACTTCAGTATAAAGAGAAAAAGCTTCTTAACAATTACAAGTTCTTCTAAAGTAGAATAGTCTATAGTAGGAGATAGTGGGTCACCCTTTTGCTGGAGGCCTTCAAACTATAGCTGGGTGACCCTTTGTCAGGGACGTTGCAAGTACAGGTTGGTGTCTGTGGTCTTTGAGGGTTTTTCCAACCCTGTGATTTGATTTGATTCTGTGATTCCATATGTGACAGAGTCAGAATTTGAACTCAGACCCTTTCTTTACTGTAGTGTTCTTTCTTATTTTCCTAGCAGGTTATCTGACTAGTATTCATTTCTTATTTGCTGAAAATTGATTCATAACTTTTCAGAATTTAAAACTCTGGAGGAATTAATTTTGTATTCGATTCAACAAAAATTATTGCAAATAAGAATTGCAAAAAAAGAAAATTTTTCTTAGAAATATTTTTTGTTCATAGTTTAAGAAGTCCAAATGGTCCCCTATACCAGATGTTTACCTTATTATAGATATAGCTTAATAGATGTTATATGTAAAATGTAATGTCTAGGATAGTACTGAGAGGGACTGATTTTCTGAGTAACATCCTAGGTCATAACTTATTATATTGAAATTATAGTTATTTATTCACTTATTCACAAGACAGCTATTTGATCATTTTAAAAATCAAGAAAAATGTATGAAGTTTTCGTTCTCTAAACGATAAGAAAATGTTGCTTTGTCAACAGATTGAGAGTTTGGGCAGCTTCGGCTATTGGCTGATTTTCCACATCAAGAACAGATACATTTTAAAAGTGCTCTTATACCCAAAGCAGCAGTGCATATAGATTCTTGAAATGGAGAGCATTTAATTTCTAAGAGAAAAAGATAAACAAAAGGGGGACGAGAATCTGTATTTCCTGTTAGTGGCCTGACCACTATGCAGTATACTGCTAACACTAAAAGGGACTACTGAAATACTGTTATGGTAAATACTATTACCAAAAAAAAAAATCACACACACAGAGTTTAAAACAAAACTGAAAGAATGGTCACTCGGTTTGTAGTTGTAGTCATAATTTAGGCTAAGATCAACAAGTATAGTAGGACATGATAGCTACTAGTCACATGATACCTTACATATTATTAACCATGTTCTAAACCACAGCCTTCTCTGGGAGGCAATGCATGTCACACTGATGATGAGATTGTTTTTCAGATAGTCTAAAGGACTCGTCACTAGCAATATTGGACCTGGAACTCAACCCAGCAGTCAGTCTGACCTCAGTGCCACAGTTGTAGAAAAATGTCCTTTCCATTTGTCTGTTTTAGGTGGAAGTGAAATCTGGAGAAGAAGATGAAGAAGTTTTGTTTAAAGAAAGAGCCAAACTTTACAGGTGGGACAGAGATGTTCTTCAGTGGAAAGAACGGGGCGTTGGAGAGATAAAGATCCTTTTCCATACAATGAAGAACTATTATCGAATCCTTATGAGAAGAGACCAAGTTTTAAAAGTTTGTGCAAATCATGTTATTACCAAAGCAATGGAATTAAAACCATTAAATGTTTCAAATAATGCTTTAGTTTGGACTGCTACAGACTATGCAGGTGAGTTTTAGTAACCTTAATACTCTTTTCAGTTCAAGTCTTATATATGACATAGAAACTATTCATGAGATTCAAAACCATTATAAAGTTATTGTTTTGTTTTGGGTTTTTTTTTGGCTTATAGATGGAGAAGCAAAAGTTGAACAACTTGCAGTCAGATTTAAAACTAAAGAAATGTCAGATTCTTTTAAGAAGAAATTTGAAGAATGTCAGGATAATTTATCAAAACTGCAGAAGGGACAAGTATCACTTGTAGGAGAGTTGTCACAGGAAACAAATCCTGTGGTATTTTTTGAAATATTTGCTGATGATGAACCTCTGGGACGTATCACTATGGAACTATTCTCAAATGTTGTGCCTCAAACTGCTGAGAACTTCAGGGCACTGTGCACAGGAGAAAGGGGCTTTGGTTACAGGAACTCAATTTTTCACCGTGTAATTCCAGATTTTGTTTGCCATGTAAGTATGAGCCAAGTAGAAATTGTTCACAAAGATTATCTTTTTCCCACAGTTGAGATAAGTAACATTATTCCATGTTCTTGTTGGATAATATAGTGTAAGGTCTAAATCTAAATTCCTTTTCTACCAGGTTGCCAACTGATTTTCCCATATACATTTGTTAAATAATGAATTCTTTCCCAAATTTTTCTTTAGTTCACCAGATCTTTGTAGACATTTGGTTGGAAATCTGGTATGACTTTATTCTGTTAATCTATTAGGTTTAAGTCTGGGGGTACAAGACCATCCTTATCAGCCTTTCTATTGATTGTGCTTCTCGACTGTCTTGCCCATGACTTTTTTCTATGTAAATTTCATTGTGATTTTTGCCTTATTCTATAAAGAAGTCCTTACTGTTAAATATATGTTAAGGGCCTATTGTCATTTTTACTATATGAATCAGAAACATTCATCTCTTTTTATTCCTGCTGTTTCACCCCCAGTTCCAGGCCCTTGTTATTTGATAACTGAGCTATTGCAGTAACATTCTTGCTAATCTCCCTCCCTCTAGTCTCCTCCTGTATCCGGTCTGTCTTGTACCTTGTTGCCAGAAGACCTTCCTAAAACATGGTTTTCATCATGTCATTAGGAAAGGCAGTTGGGCACAATGTGAGGAATACTAGATATGGAATCTGAGAAGTTCAGTTAAAATTCTGGGTAATCCTGGGAAAGTTACCCAAAACTTCTGAGCATCATTTTGTTGATCTGTTAAATGAAGGGGATGTAGGTTCATTTTTATCTGTAAATCTATGCTCTTGTAGTCCTTTCTGTACTTGGCTTTCTCTATAGCCTCATGGTACAGTGGAAAGGGCACTGACTCTGAAGTGAGAGCACCTGGGCCCAAATTCTAGCTATGACACTGCCTGTGTGACAGTCTCTTAACATCCCTTCTCCTTAGTTTCCTTATCTGTAAAAATGAAGGGTTGGATTAGATAGCCTCTGAGATTCCTTTTGTGGAAAACTTCTTTGAAGTTTCTTTTTTAAATGAACGTTCTTTAAAATAATCAATTTATGGGTTAATATAATATTGTTAATCCCTTGAGGTTTGTCTTTATTAAAAAATGGATTGTTCTGGTTTTTTAATGAATTTAATATTTTCTGATTTTTATTATTGAGATTAACTTTAAATTTTAGGTTTGATTGAGATCAACTTGTTAATAATTTATTTTAATTGTAATTTCTTTTTAGGGAGGAGATATCACCAAACACGATGGAACAGGAGGACGGTCTATTTATGGGAACACATTTGAAGATGAAAACTTTACAGTGAGACATACTACACCTGGCTTATTGTCAATGGCTAATCGTGGCCAACACACCAATAATTCTCAATTTTTTATCCTTCTGAAGAAAGCAGAACATTTGGACTTTAAGCATGTAGTATTTGGATTTGTTAAAGACGGCATGGATACTGTGAAAAAGATTGAATCATTTGGTTCTCCTAATGGTTTGGTGAGCAAAAGAATTATGATCACAGAGTGTGGACAAATATAAAAATCCCTGCTTTTTCATAGCAAACTTTTATCCTTGTAAACAGTTAAATTGAGGCTTAGCTGTTCTCAACAATATGGTGATTATGTTCAGCTTTTGAAAATGGACATTTCCAATGTATAAATGTAAAATTGCAGCTTATAGCTGTTGTCATTTTTTTTTAATGTGTTAAAATTGACATTGCATGGTGTGAAATAAAAGTTTAAACACTGGTCTATTTCAGGTGTACTTGTGTTTATGTACTCCTGACAGATTTGTATTAAAAATTAACGTCAGATAAGTATTGTTAAAGCAATAGCCCTTCTTAGGTTGTTGAATGAATATGACATGCAGTTTGATTCTGTTAAATTGATTTTAAGGTATTTTACTTCCTGCATTGATGTACCTAACCTTTTAAATAAAGGGACCACAACTTGGATCTTTTTTAGATTTTAAATATACTTGCTATCATATCTTACCTACTGGTGTGCCTTTTTTTGAGGGGGACACAAAAAGTGCATGGAGACCCATTTATAATTGGGTGGAGCTATGAAGAGAGCAATGGCTTACCCAAAGTGCTCTTCTGAGGTCCCAAGATCTTTACCTCCATGTGTAGTCTTGAGTCAGTTTTAAATGAAATGCCTACCCTCTTCCAATCATTTGTAGCTTTCTATGTTACTACAAAAGGGAGAATTTTATTTTCTTATGTTTTAAATAGATCACTTGGCTAGTTTCTTAGTGTTTTGGAAATGTTGGGCTTTACTTTCCTGTCATCAGTCTCTACTACCTCAGAATCTGTAGCCTGGTTCTTTCAACAGAACTTGGATTTTTTTCCTTGCAATTGAGATATATTGCACATTTTAAAAATAGCTTTGTACCATGTTCTTTGCTTCTGGTTACTTAATGCTATGTTACTTCACTATCTGTTCTTGATGAATTTTATAAAATAAAAGTAACATCTACCTTACAATTTTTAGAATTCTTGGATAACTAGATGTTCCTTCATCCATTCTAGCACTGTGGAAAGTAGGGAGGGCAGTTAAAGGATGAGAAAACTAGTTGGCCATGGAATTTTAGGACTGTAAGCAACATTTCCCCCCAACTCAGATGCAAATTGAAAACATGGAATTACTAAAGGTGTGGATAGTAAATAAAACAAAGTGAGTCTTGGGAGATTGAGATGCATCTCCCTAAGGCATGGGAGAATGGCAGCCCCCTGCTTCCTCCTTACAAAAATTGACATGTTTATGAGGAGTGTATGCCAATGTTGAATATATTCCATCTACCCTTTTACCCTTTTTAAAAAATCATTGTCCCAGGTTAGTTAGCTAGCTCAGTTTTTACTGTAAAGAAATGAATTATAAAGAAATGAAAGAAATCTTGCTTCCTGGGCAGTTAGAAATTAGGTGCCCTGCATAGTTACCTGTTCAAGAATAAAATTTCTGGGGAAGAGTTTTATGGTAGCAGATTAGGATTTATTCCTTTGTGATGATGGAGTATCATCATTACTTTAATAAGAACTGCTCAGCCAAGTATCAGAGAAAAAGTTTACTTGCCCTAAGAATTTATTAATTCAAAACTAATTTACATTTTCCAAATTGATTAGGAAAATAAAGGGAATGGTGGTTTCACTATTACCTGGAATGCTCTCTAACATGGCTTCTTTGTCCTAATTAGTATTTCATGATATGGTGGTATAGAGAGAATTCTTTTTTTAAAAAGTGATTGATGGCGTTTGTGGCAATCCTAGAATAAATTCTGAAGTATCAACTGTCACTAAATTTAAAGGAAGTAAGAAACATTCTTTGAATTGGCTTTTTTGTGAGATTTTAAAAGCTTTTAAAGCTATGCATAATAAAGTTTGATGGACTTTAATCTTGACTAATAAATAAATGATGTCATGTTGCATTCTGATAGTAAATTTTTTTTAACAGTCTGGTAAAAAGAATGATTATCTGTAGCATTCTGTTCCTCTCCCATTCTGATTCTCCCTACACTTGTTCTAAAGTAAAAATGACTTCAGACATTGTACCAAAGGCTATCTGTCACCTATTTTTGGAAGGAGTTTTAAAGATTGCTCCACCTTAAAGAAAAAATGAATTGTATAGAAGCACACAGCATTATATTGAATTCTTTGTAACACTGACCATTTTTATATTGTCCTCATTAAAACCTTTTAAATGGAATAGAAACTCACCATTTTGTATACTTATTTATAAATTATCTTTTTAGCAAAATTTTTAAACTAATTTTATATTGAATGAAGTGACTTTCATGTAGATCAGTTTAGGTGATTTGTAAAACCCTTAATTTTTTAAAGGAGGTAATGGATAACTTAGATTGCTGTTCAGGTAAATTCTAAAGTTCTAAATTTCTAAAATTCTAAAGCTGAAGAAATGTTAAAATATGCCTTATTTTAGAAATGGCAAGTGTTAAAGTAATTTCATGATTTGAGAAATCATGTTTCAGTTATTTGGGATCCCAACTCTCACTATGTGTAAGGCAAGTTGTTAATTTTTAATCTATACAATTAGAGGATCCCTCTCAGTTCTAAGAGTCTATGGCTTATAATTGTATGTAAAAATGGCCTAGTAGTTTATAGGACTGAATTGGTTGTAAGTAATATTTGACTTTATACCACCTAATTTAGCCATTGTTTTAAAATTCCTGGAAAGAGAAAAGTGGAAAATGAAGGAATAAATGAGAAAGCATTAATTATGTTCTATTGTGTGCTAAGCACTGGAGATACAAAACAAAAGCAGAGAGGAACCTGGAAAGAAAGGAAAAAACCTATAAAGAAACTTACCAAAATTTCATTTTCTCCACATGTCCTTCCAGCTATTTGCTGTGCTTTTTCATAACAGAAATAGTAAGTGGTTCCCATCATATTTGTGTGTCAGCTCCTAACAATTTAAAATACATATTGTAATGCAGCAGGAAGAAATTTTGGAGTCAGAAGACCCCAGTTTTAATCCCAGTTCTACTACTTACCTGTACCTCAGTTTCCTTATCAATAAAATGAGGAAGTTGGACTAAATACCTCTTCTAGCCCTAAATCTATGTTTTTTTAATCCAGAGTCTCCAAGTCAAGAGAAATCTAGGCTTACATGGTCTGTTTAACGCAAGTGATTTGTGATATTGAAATAATAAATAGCCCAAGGTTAGAAAAAGCCATCAGAACGTACCCTTTAATTGTCGTAGAACCTGGGATGAGAGGTATTAACAGTAAGGTCAAATATAGTGTTTGGATCGGTGGCTTAGAGTGGTTGTTGAGTAAAGTAGTGACCATAGCCTTCCTGACTTAGAATAGTTAGCTACACTGTTGTAGACTCCCAGTTAAGCAGAACAGACTTGACAAGTGACAGAAAATTTTTATGAGTAGAATTCAACATAGTAAATAGCTTTATGGAGTAGATACAGCCTTAACTGAGTTGTGGCTTACCAAAATGCATTAATTGGAATCTCAGAGAAAGTGGCCTACACTAACACAGAATTTTCAGAAAGAAGTGAGGTATGGCAGTGTGGTGAAGTGGAAAGAAGGCTAGAAGTCAAGAAACCTAGATTTTAGTCACAGATCATGTGGCTGGGGAAATTAAAAATTTATTATTTGTCTAGTATGTGCAAGGTAATGTTACAGTCTTCAGTGATAGATAAAAAATGAAATCTGTATTCTTGAGAAACTTGCATTCTTTTGAGGGGAATACAACATGTATACAGGTAGATATAGTACAAGGTAGGCTGTGATGGGAGTACAAGTAGAGATTCAAAGTATTCTCAGAAAATTTGGAGTGAAGACTTCACTGTATACCTTGGATTGCATCATGGAAGGATGAATGGGGCTTGAAAGAAGAGAAAGCTTCAACAGGCATTGAGAATGACCTGTGGAAATGCACGGAGGCAGGAGGGTTTAGGATAGTATGATAATATGATAAAACAACATTAATAATTGATATTTAATAATTTCCAATATAAATATATCATACCATATTATATAATTATATTAAACCATACCATAATTAAATAAAATAAAAGGGAAGAGATGTTAGTCCATTTTGGTTGGAATGGCAGATGTGTAGGAGAGTAGGCTGATATAAAACTGGAAGATTAAGATGGAGCCAAAAATTGGAAGGCCTTAAATTCTGGGTTTAGGAATTGCCTAGGCTAAAGGCAATAAGGAACTCCTAAAGGTAGGATCGATCTGTCTGTAACAAAAACCTTGAGGACAGGTTGGAGAGGGAAAAAGACAGGAGGGTGGTTAGTAGCCTATGGAGAGAAGGAAATGGCAAACCACTCCTGTATCTTTCTTAAGAAAACTCCAAATGGGCTCTTGTGGAGTTGGACACAACTGGAAAAAAAGATTGAACAAATGAGATAATGAGGGTTTGAACTCATTATGATAGCGAAAAGAAGGTAGGGCACGTATCTTAAGATTTTGTGGAGGTTGAATAAGAGAAAAGGAGAACAAAGGTGAAAAGCTTAAGGAGGCATTAATAAAATCATTGTTTAGGAGGAGCATATTTAAATGTCTTAGACTGAGGAAGCTGAAAATGTGGGCCTGGAATTCAAGGGGTCGGGGAACCTTTTAAAGCACTTCACCTAATTTCTAGGAGAGGGGTGTCATTCCTACAGCAAGGCTTTCTTTGTCCCACTTTCCCTTCTCCCTACCCCCCAAAAATCATATATTCTTCTGAACAATCTCCAGGAAACTCAAGCCTTCTCTAGACTCTAGGTACAACTGCATGCAGATTAAGTCGTTTTCATTCCTGTCCTATTGTTTTCTTTTTTTGCTTTTTGGTGAGGCAGTCGGGGTTAAGTGACTTGCCCAGGATCACACAGCTAGTGTTAAGTGTCTGAGGTCATATTTGAACTCAAGTCCTCTTGACTCCAGGGACGGTGCCCTATTCATTTCGCCACGTAGCTGCCCCCATATTGTTCTTTTCAACCTTTAAAAAGAAATGGGAAATTTACCTAAATGTATACAGATCTTTGAGAGACGTAACTTGCTAAATGCCATATTTTAAGTTTTATGTTAACATTGCCAGAACTGACATCTCCAAAGTCCCAAAATGTAATTACAGTTCAATCAACTTGATCACT